ACTCGTGCTATACACGGGTATATACGGTAAATGGAAAAATTTTACTCGACACCGACATTAGTTCCATTTAAATAACAGACGCTTAAGTGAGTCACTAGTGTTTACACTACACCAACCGGTAACATTTGATGCCATTACTTGAAGTGAATTGGCCTTATTTTAAAAAACCAAGGATGTGTAAACAGCACTGGTCAATGGGATGGTTGGTAAAGGACTACTGGGTCAGTAAGCTCCCAATGGTGTCACATGTGGGGTACCGGTCTTATACAGCGAATAGAGCTCAAAAGCTACTTTTTAAATGGAAATTTTTGGGGTCGTCTTATACACCCCGTCGCCTTGTAGGCCGAGATATACGGTACTGACAGGAAAAGCTAAAGGAGAGGACGTGTTTATACCAAGGATACCCCTCACCACCACTGACCTGCCATTTGAGTTCAAGCAACTTCAGTTCCCGGTTAAAGTGAGCTTTGCCATGATCATCTACAAAAGCCAGGGACAGTCCCTAAAGATGGTTGGCCTAAACCTGGTGTTTCTTTGCTTCTCTCATGGACAGTTCTATGTTGGATGCTCCAGAATGGGAACTGGCAAAAATCTGTACATACTTGCTCCTAATGGCAAAACCAAAAATGTGGTCTACCCTAATGCACTACAGTGAGACATTGTGGAGCCTCCCAGAGGGGGGCGTCCTACCGTGGCCTAGCGAAAGAGCGTGTTTCTGCTAGTACATAATAAACTGACCTTAAACCTTGAGAAAACCACTACACGAACTTTCACAAAAGGAAAAACTTACCCCCAGACTTGGACCCCCCCTGTACCTTGGTAATACAGTCCTCAAACACGAATAAAATACTACATTCCTCGGAGTTAGTGTTGATGAGAAACTTAACTGGAGAAACCACATACAAGCCATTCACAGTAAAGTCAATAAACAGTGCGGTATCATGTATCACACTCGACAGTCACTCACTCTCACAGCAATGAAAGAAATCTATCATGATCTTGTTTACCAACACCTGATATGCTGTCACACACTATGGGGGCCTATGGCTCTTCAAAAACACAATCTCTGGTTACTGCACAAAATGGAGTTGTACAGACAATGACCTACTTGAAAAAAAACAGATCACACAAACGAAAAATTGCTACATTGAAAATGTTAAAATTCAAAGATATTAACACCTACTGCTGTGCCCTCTTTGTTTACAAATCTATCAATCACTTGCTTGACAATATTTATTTACAGTTCCGGAATAATCAGAGATACAACTTAAGGCACCCAGAGCTACTAAGACCACCCCCCATACGCTCCTCTCAGTCCCAGACCTCCATAAAATCTCACGGTGTGAAGGTGTGGAACAACTTACCCCCACCCATCCGAGCAAAGACTACGCTCCCTTCCTTTAAATCATCTCTTAATAAATATCCATTGTATAAGTACAGTATTATTTCTTGTAACACCTACTACATTTACAGTACCTGCTTTTATTGTACCATCAAAACCGTTTTATCGGAAATTATCATGTAATAGATAAGTAATTACCATTACATTAAACATAATTGCCAACTAGACATAATCCTGACAGCTCTGTCCTCTTGTTCAACCTTATTACTGTACAACCCATGTTGTACTGCTCCCCCGTTATACTTATGTTTTCAATTCCATGGTAATTTATGTATACCTGTATATAAATAAAAAAAAATAAATAAATAAAAAAAAATAATAAATAAATAAAATAAATAAATATTGAAGTGATAACCATGGTAACATTATGAGATGTTCTTATTACCACCATGCTATTGTACTATTCCAGTTGATACTAAATGTTACATAATACTTCCTTGAGATAAATGTATAGTATAAAATCAGGTGCCTAAAAGAGAGCTCAGGTTCTCAACTGGCTCAGCCATGTTAATATTGTTATTATTATCCACTCTGTATCTGTGTTTTCTGGCAAAATAAACTGTTTCAATTCAATTCAATTCTCACCACCACCACTACCTGCCTCTATTATCACCACCTAAATCATAATTTCACTTTTCTCCCTCCCACCCATTGCATCTCACTAACACTGTCTCTCTCGCTCATTCTACAATGACTGTCATTCATGAAAGCACAATATTGTACAATACTGTACATTGTTTATTTGTTAATCTCACTCTATAATTTAAAATTTGTGTGCCTCTTACAGTTCCCCTGTTGATAGGGGGACGACGAGTGTGAGATTGGGCTTTTCTGTCCTCTCCAGGGTTGAAAGAGGTGTGGCCACAGTGCACCCAGATGTTGACCCATCCAGTGGACCCACACCAGAGTTAACCCTTGGAGATGGCTCCCCAGATGGAGGATCCATATAGGTGACCCCTTAGTTGCCAGCTTTATTTTAGCTGGGGTATCGTCACCAAATACTTCCGAAAGAGGATCAGTCAGCATCTCTGAGGAGACACCAGCATGAGCTGACATCTGTTGGAGTGTCTGGGACTCAGAAGTAGGTTCTAAAGTTAGCAAAGAGGTTTCGCTTTCTTGGCAATAATTGGATGATTCTATGATCGATATCTTGTTCAGAGAATCGTGTACCTCCAGAAACCCTTGAGGACCCTTGGTGGCATTTTGCTGAAATTTTTGTAGTACCAGGATGGTTGGTGGAGGAAAGATGAGGAGTACCAGATGGGTCCGCCTCATCCATATGGACCTCAGCTACTACAAGAGAAGTCTGAGGACTGAGAATTGGTGGCATAGAATCAGGTGTGAGAGCTGAATTCAATACAGGCACTGATGATTCTCTGGGTGGTGTGGCAGCAACAGTTAGCCGAGCCTTGTGTTGGGGAAGAACCTGTGCATTGGAATCCCCATGACTTGAGATATATTTCAGTGCTGTTTCTGGCTTCAGCAAAGCTCACTTTGTCTCTGGTGCAGATCTTTATTATCTCTTTTTCAATTTGGAAACGGTCACATTCACTAAAAGAGGCCGGGTGCACCTCACTCCAGTGAAAACAGCAGACTGGACCCAGACATTTCTCACCCTCATGGGCCTTACCACAGTAAACACATACTACAGGACCTCCCTGTTGTAACTTATAACAAGTGCGGCTGACATGGCCATACATCTGACAATGTAAGCATCGTCTAGGGTTTGGGACAGATGGTTTCACCTTAAGAGAGATCCAAGCAACCTTGATAAGAGGTTGGTGTAGGGTGTAGGGTTAAGAGCGCCATTTTCTTTCTTGCGAAACCTGTCCACTTTCACCACCTTTTGGTCGTATGGAACTCCTTCAGAAACTTCTCCTCTGAGTATCAGAACAGCTCTTTAGAGAATACCACCCCTCAACGCTGATTAAAGGTGGCATGCGGAGTACAAAAGACTGGGGCACCAGGTACCTCAGACAGGGTCCGGAGTAGAGCATTCTCCTGGGGGGAGTAGACCTCCACTAGGAGGCTACCACCTTGCTGGGTGAATATTTTAGGTTCTCTCCCATAAATTCTTACTATTGACCTGTAAACAAACAAAATTTTCAGGTCCATTATAGGCTTGCCTTCCACGGATCGGAGCAATAGATATTTTGTAAAATCCATTTTCTTGAACACACCTGGTAAGATCTCATGGGTAGAAGTGCCATGGAGGGTGCCAGGACCAGTGGACCTCCTGCGGCTCTTATTCTTGGGTACCGCTGCCATTTACGAAACTTTTACTTCTTTATATAGCAGTAGGAGTAACGGAAGCACAGATTATCTCAACTGTTACTCAACTCCGGTGCAACGAATAAATTGTTACCAAAAATGTCACGGTTAATTGGAGTACACTTGACTAACTGTAAACTGTAGACTGGACCTAGACTGGGTCCTCTTAAGCTGCATTTTGTCAATTTTGTAACTAAAGCTTCTTTGTAACAGTATAACAGTAATGGGGAGAACATAATATCTCTACCTTTACCAACTGTGTATCTGTTGGGTGACTGTTACTATTGTATAACAACTACTTGTGGAGCATGTTACCTTATATTCTAGACAAACTAAAATACAGTCTCTCCTCGACTACGACAGGGTTCCATCCCGACGACCACGACCAGGACGTAGGCCGAATTGGTCCTAAGTCTAAAAGGCAAAAATAAGACATAGAAATTCTAAAAGGGGTGTCTCTTTTTCTTCTCAGCACCACGAGAACTCTCACTTTTACGCTTGCCAGCCATTTTAAAGGGAATTACAAAACAAAAATTTTGTCAGTACACAGCTCGATCACTGACGTCGGTACTACAAAATACGTAATTTGAAAAATATTTAATACGACCACGGCGGTCGTATGTCCGGGTTGTCTTCAGTTGAATATGTATAGATCAAAGTTTATTGGGTTTTCAGTAACGAAATCCAACTGTCCTTTCTTCGTTTATTATACAGGAGAACATCGATATAACACGAGATACGTTCCAAGAGACATCTCTATAAACAGAATTCGCACTAAATCGAAATGTTGTTTCAATGGAATAGTTTAGTTTGGTACTTGAGAGAAACACAAAATACTAAAAAGACAGAGTCTACCCAGATGCACCTCAGCCCATCTCCTAGAATAAACGAAACATTGTTTTCTGTAGTATTATGTAAAAACACTCATAAATCAACACAGCTAAAATTAAGGGATATGAAATGGTCTGTTTACTAGCAATCAGCTGATGGGAAGATGGGGGAGGTGAGGTGATATGTTTGACAGTTGATGCTAAGGTCTAGTGCTTATTTATTTATCTGTCCTTAAGAGTGACTAAGTTTTTCTCTTATAAAATGTCACTGAACTGACATGTTCTAATTAATTTTATTACAAAGGGCTAAAATTTTTATCTCTTGTGCAAAATATATGAAGTTTATATTCAAATTATTCGCTGTCTTGCAAGGATTCCAGCAATGCAAATTATATTCTCCAAACTTTAGTCTGTGATATTATAAAAGATAAAAACTTTAAGCCTAAAAGCCTGGCTGGGGGGTGAGGTGACAGTGACAAGTTTGACAGTTGGGGCCGAAGGTCTTGTGAACTATTTATTTGTTTATTTATGTCCTTTAGATTGAGTTTTCGTTTTTTGTTTATAAAATGTCACAGAAGTGACCGGGGAGAATATAATTTACATTGCTGGAATTCTTATAAGATAGTGATTAATTTGAATATCCGTATATACTCGTCTATAACCCCCCCTCGTTTATCGGTCGACCCTGATTTTTTTACCAAGAAATCATTAATTTATGATATTCTTCGTTTATAGTTCAACCCATGTTTTTGAGGGTAATGGAACAACAAAACCTTCAGTAAAAACGCTGTACGTCCTATAAACTGAGGCTCGCCGTGCCTGAAACACGAGTGCCGAAGGCAAATCGTTTACCATTTATTATTACGACACTTAACACTGAAATGCGGGTAGTTTCTACAAAAATATTGTATATTTCCATTCAAGTATTTATTCAAGTCAATTAGGAGGGAATATTATTGTAATACAACAGTTTTTTAACTAAACCATTCGAAAAGCGATTACGGTAACATCTTTTGAACGAAAGAAAGCGAAAGTCATTGTTTTCGTCACGATTTTATCCCAATTTCCACTGTAATACGTACGTAATTTCAGCAAAAATATTACATTTCCGTGAATGTATTATATCAAGCACAGTATGAATAGAATATCATTGTAATATAACAGAATTTTAACCGAAAACTATTAAAAAAACGAGTAACATCTCAAGAACATCGGAAGCTTAGGTAAAGTCTTTTGTTTTCGTCATGTATTTTATCCTATTTTACATTGAAATACATCACGTTTCAGCAAAACTACTATTTACTTCCGATAATATATTCATTCAGGCGCAGTTTAGGTAAAATATACGTGTGTTGTAATAGTTTTTTAACTGAAAACGATTCAAAAAACACGTACCCTCTAGCTCTGTTCAAGGAGAGTACTGGGAGAAGCTGTTTGGTGCTGCAGATGATGACAAGGACAATGATTTTGATGGATTTTAATGAAAATATTCAGAAATATGGTATCGTAGTATTTATCCAAGTCAATTAGGATAGAATATTATTGCAATACAAGAGTTTTTAACTGAAAACCATTCGAAAAGCGATTACGGTAACATCTTTTGAACGAAAGAAAGCGAAAGTCATTGTTTTCGTCACGATTTTATCCCACTTTCCACTGTAATAAGTACGTCATTTCAGCAAAAATATTACATTTCCGTGAATGCATTATATCAAGCACAGTATGAATAGAATACCATTGTAATATAACAATATTTTAACCAAAAACTATTAAAAAAACAAGTAACTTCTCTTGAACATGGGAAGGTTAGGTAAAATCTTTTGTTATCGTCATGTATTTTATCCTATTTTACATTAAAATACATCACGTTTCAGCAAAACTACTATTTATTTCCGAGAATATATTCATTCAGGCACAGTTAAGGTAAAATATACATGTGATGTAACAGTTTTTAACTGAAAACGATTCGAAAAACACGTGTACCGTCTAGCTGATACAGCTGGTGGTGCGTGATGCGTCAAGGGTCGTTGTAAACAATAGGAGGTTGAAGTAGATTACCGGGTATTATATTAAGTGTGAAATATCGAAAAGGTTTTTATTACAGGTATTTTTTGTAGATCAATGAAAACTGTGATACCATATATGATATGATAAGTTAACCTGTGCTAAGAACTTCAACATAGACTACTGAAAGCACGTTGTAACGTAATTTAGCCTATTGTAAGTTGGTGAGCTTCATTTGCTGAAGGAACTGCACAACTTTTCATTACTAATTGGTACATATTTTACGTTTCCATTGTTTACTGGCAGTAAATGGTAAATATTTTTCATGTCTAAAGCTAAAAGTTGCTCCTCGCCCTTCCCATCATGCACGGGTTCAACCTAACAAAACTTTTACGCATGTATAGGACGACTCCCAATTTTTTGCCTAAAAATTTGGTCTTAAAAACTCGAACTATACACGAGTATATACGGTAATCATGCTATAATTTGCACTAAACAAAAATTTTAGTAATCATTTAGTACAGTTAACCCTCACTTTACGCGGTTAATGTAACCCGGAGGGTCCCGCGTAAAGTGAGAAACGCGTAAAGTGAATAACATAACATATGGGATTAATTGAAATGGAGTCCGGGCCGATCCCCAAACTCCACTTTTTGACGACACACAACTATGTTGTAGTAAAAATATTATCTTAACTTTATGATGGTATGCACACACAATTAATAATTAAGAGAAATATCAATAATATTAGGTTTTTTAACACTTACATTAGTAGAAAAAATGGCTGGGCACACGGGGATGGGCGGTTGGTTCCGAGGCAGAGGGCAGATTATTGGCCCTCACCTGTGTCACTTGTATCAATTGTATCACTATCCACCACAGAGGCTTGCAGGGCCTCTTTGTCAAACTCCCCAAAGTCCATATAAGTCCATATCCTCACCATAATTATCACTATCACTGACTTGGGCCGGCTGTGGTGGGTGGCGGGTGAAGAACTGGTAATGTTTTGATGACTGGGCGACCTTGTGCGCACCATGTTCGCGCAGCTTACACAACATGGCGGATGGCGGGAGGTTTGGATCCAAAAATGGCGCGGCTCGCCAGCCGCTCTCCGCGTAAAGGGGTACACCCACCGCGGAATGTGAGCATCCTGGGTTCCGGCAGGGCACCGCGTAAACGTGGAAACGCGGAATGTGGGACCGCGTAAAGTGAGGGTTAACTGTATGTTATTTTGAGTACATGTACAGTACAGCTTTGCCCTTAGGACAGTGTAGCGTGCCCAGAGAAACATTTGGCGCCAATTTTAAGATATGACGAGACAGATTGACTTGTGCAAAATAGGAAATATTCGCTTTAAATTAAAACATTGTCCTTAATTGTGGGTGTCGCTTGAAATCATTAATCTTAAATTGAATCGCTTTAAATCGACTTTCTACTGTAAAAGGTTTCTATGTACAGTACACTTTCAAAAATGATTATCACCGTAACTTAATCACTGTAGCTATGAGTGTTAAATGAGGATGGACGCTATCTTAGAGTAGCTCTACTAAATACGTCCGATTGATGTTAGAGTGGGGGTGATAGTGAGTAGAGACCGCTCGAGGGAGAACGGAATATATCTGACATCCTCCCCCGAGGAAAGGCGGAGCACATCAGGGATGGCTCTAATAACGTCTTCCTCTCGTCAGGGTTATCAAACTACTGCGCGCAACAGGCGGCCAGGGAGCCAGTTACTTATGCATGACTTAGCACTAACTGACACGACTATCAGTGGACACACCTTATCACGTGCTCTGAACATAAACCTCATAGCTAGTGGAAAGTTACAAGGGGTGATAGGTATACACGACTAATGTAATTAGCCCACATTTATATACCGTATATACTCGTCTATAACCCCCCTTCGTATATAGGTCGACCCCGATTTTTTGACCAAGAAATCGTTAATTTATGATATTCCTCGTTTATAGGTCGACCCAAGTTTTTGAGGGTAAAAGAACAACAAAACCTTCAGAGAAACACTACATCCTATAAACTTGTTTACCATTTATTATTACGACACTTTACACTGAAAAGCGGGTAGTTTCAACAAAAATATTGTATATTTCCATTCAAGTATTTATTCAAGTCAATTAGGAGGGAATATTATTGTAATACAATAGTTATTTAACTGAAAACCATTCGAAAAGCGATTACGGTAACATCTTTTGAACGAAAGAAAGCGAAAGTCATTGTTTTCGTCACGATTTTATCCCACTTTCCACTGTAATACGTACGTCATTTCAGCAAAAATATTACATTTCCGTGAATGCATTATATCAAGCACAGTATGAATAGAATACCATTGTAATATAACAATATTTTAACCAAAAACTATTAAAAAAACAAGTAACTTCTCTTGAACATCGGAAGGTTAGGTAAAATCTTTTGTTTTCGTCATGTATTTTATCCTATTTTACATTAAAATACATCACGTTTCAGCAAAACAACTATTTATTTCCGAGAATATATTCATTCAGGCACATTTAAGGTAAAATATACATGTGATGTAACAGTTTTTTAACTGAAAACGATTCGAAAAACACGTGTACCGTCTAGCTGATACAGCTGGTGGTGCGTCATGCGTCGTTGTAAACAAAAGGAGGTTGAAGTAGATTACCGGGTATTATATTAAGTGTGAAATATCGAAAAGGTTTTTAATACCGGTATTTTTTGTAGATCAATGAGAACTGTGATACCGTATATGATATGATAAGTTAGCCTGGGCTAAGAACTTCAACATAGACTACTGAAAGCACGTTGTAAGGTAATTTAGCCTATTGTAAGTTGGTGAGCTTCATTTACTGAAGGAACTGCACAACTTTTCATTACTAATTGGTACATATTTTACGTTTCCATTGTTTACTGGCAGTAAATGGTAAATATTTTTCATGTCTGAAGCTAAAAGTTGCTGCTCGCCCTTCCCATCATGCACGGGTTCAACCTAACAAAACTATTACGCATGTATAGGACGACCCCCAATTCTTTGACGAAAATTTTGGTCTTAAAAACTCGAACTATACACGAGTATATACGGTATTCAAAATGATCATCAAATTGTAAGAATTCCAGGAATGTAAATTATATTCTGGCCCGGTAATTTATATGAATTTTATGAGCTAAAACAAATATCTTCAATAAATAAACAAAATATACTTACCGAAATACTATCTGTCAATCAAAATACCCCACCTACCCCCCCTCTTCCCACCTGCTACCCTGGGTCCCTCCCTCCCTCCCTACCCCCACCTTTCCTCCCTACCAGAGAAATGATTGGGTTATAACAGTATATTTACATTTTTAGTTATAAATAATACCTCAGACTAAAGTTAGGATAATATAATCGACATTGCTGGATTCCTTGCAAGACCAGGAATATTTTGAATATACACTTCATATATTTTGCACAAAAGATAACATATTTGCTCTGAGTAAACAAAATACTTGCATTAGATCTAAAATTTGTATGTCTAATGCAAAAATCTATGATGCTTACATTCAAAATGATCATCAAATTGTAAGAATTCCAGCAATGTAAATTATATTCTGGCCGGATAATTTGTATGAATTTTACGAGTTAAATAAAAAATTATACTTCACCTGCGTATATGAGTAGATGCACCACGTAAAGTGGAAATTCCGGTTCTGGCAGGGTACCGCGTAAATGTAGAAACGCGTAAAGTGAAACCGCATAAAGCGAGGGTTCACTGTGTGTGTGTGTATATATATATATATATATATATATATATATATATATATATATATATATATATATATATATATATATATATATATATATATATATATATGTGTGTGTGTGTGTGTGTGTGTGTGTGTGTGTGTGAAAAACCCTCACTCCTTACCCTCAAGCTGCACCCTTGATTATCTGGAGGGTTGTTGACTCTGGGGGTGGATGAGGTGCCTGGTGGATTATTTTTGTCTGGCTGTGGTTTACTCAGGTGTGGGTCTTTCTCAGGTGCTGGGGCGGAAGGAGGAGGTATGACATCATCTTTGTCGAAAATTTCTTGCAGTGCACGAACTTGACACTGGTAGGTCTTATGCTGCAAATAATAAAACTATATGTAGACTAATTATAAACATGTGTCCTCATTCAATTTGTCATTTTCACAGTAAGTGAATAATCTGTGTAAGAATATCATGTCATCATACAGTATACATGTGTGGCAAATTTTCGCACTGACTTTCACCTCTACATGTGCCACATTTTACAGTACAGTAATAAAATATCCCATCTTCATTAGTTAAAAAAATCTTCCATATAAACTTGTCCGATCACCCCTTTTGCAACCAGTTCTCGGTGAAAGCATGTAGTATGTAAGATATACATCCACTGCTCAGTATCACCGTATATACTCGTCTATAACCCCCCTTCGTATATAGGTCAACCGCGATTTTTTGACCAAGAAATCGTTAATTTATGATATTCCTCGTTTATAGGTCGACCCAAGTTTTTGAGGGTAAAGGAACAACAAAACCTTCAGTAGAAACACTACATCCTATAAACTTGTTTACCATTTATTATTACGACACTTTACACTGAAAAGCGGGTAGTTTCAACAAAAATATTGTATATTTCCATTCAAGTATTTATTCAAGTCAATTAGGAGGGAATATTATTGTAATACAATAGTTATTTAACTGAAAACCATTCGAAAAGCGATTACGGTAACATCTTTTGAACGAAAGAAAGCGAAAGTCATTGTTTTCGTCACGATTTTATCCCACTTTCCACTGTAATAAGTACGTCATTTCAGCAAAAATATTACATTTCCGTGAATGCATTATATCAAGCACAGTATGAATAGAATACCATTGTAATATAACAATATTTTAACCAAAAACTAATAAAAAAACGAGTAACATATCTTGAACATCGGAAGGTTTGGTAAAGTCTTTTGTTTTCATGTAGTTTATCCTAATTTGCATTGAAATTCATCACGTTTCAGCAAAACTACTATTTATTTCTGAGAATATGGAAATGTAATATTTTTGCTGAAATGACGTACGTATTATAGTGGAAAGTGGGATAAAATCGTGACAAAAACAATGACTTTCGCTTTCTTTCGTTGAAAAGATGTTACCGTAATCGCCTTTCGAATGGTTTTCAGTTAAAAACTGTTGTATTACAATAATATTCTATCCTAATTCACTTGTGATGTAACAGTTTTTTAACTGAAAACGATTCGAAAAACACGTGTACCGTCTAGCTGATACGGCAGAGCCCTGGTCGCGGAGGCTTTGTGTTTGCTTCGGCCCTTCTTAAGCAGCTTTTAATTTTAGCGTACGTTGAAATTGTGTTTACCGGTATATTCTATTTTCTTGCTTCTTATTTTCCAGAAATATGACAAGTTTGTATATAATACAATGTTACGGTACTTTTAATTTACAAGTATTCATTTTTAAAAATACAGAAGACACCAAACAAATACCAGTACTACGGTTATTTGCGTGACTCTCCCGCCAAAAAAGACCAAACAGCTGGTACTCTCTCCCTCAGCCCTACCAAAATAGCCCAACGACATCTTTCTTGTTTATTCTCTTCCAATTTCTCACTTTAACTGGTATTTTTTACTTCATATTGCCTACATCAGATAAACTACAGTAATTGAGGTTAGACACTGTTATAAATTTGATTACCGGGTCCTGGCAGGTGCCGTTAGAACCACCTGACCCTACCAACAGTGTTGCAAGTCAGACAGCATTTTTTTAATCATCCATGTGCACGAGAAAGGATGGATGGATGAAGGCGGCATACAAATATGGCTTAAAAAAGTCTGGAACTTTAGACCAGGGGGACTGCGCAAAGAAAAAAGTCTTCTTGTGTGGGATATGTTTCGGTCACATCTTGTTGACAGTGTTACTGCTGGGATTAGGAAGGAAAACACTGATACAGCTGTGATTCCTGGTGGATTAACAAGTCTTGTCCAACCACTGGATGTTTCCATAAACAAACCATTTAAAGATGCGGTAAGAGTGAAGTGGAACAACTGGATGATAGAAGGCGATAAGACATACACAAAGGGAGGCAACATCCAAGCTCCATCACTAGCAACATTATGTGAATGGATTGTAGAGGCCTGGGATGCAATCAGACCAGAAATTGTGGTGAAATCTTTTAAGAAATGTGGAATTTCGAATGCTCTTGATGGAACAGAAGAAGACTTGTTGTGGGATTATGAGGCTAATGAGAGCGTGAATGAGGATGAAGATATTGATGATCCTATGGCTGATGATGGTGTTGATCCATATGACGATGCTGTTCAAGGAGAGGACTGGGAGGAGCTGTTTGGTGCTGCAGATGATGACAAGGAAAATGATTTTGATGGATTTTAATGAAAATATTCAGAAATATGGTATCGTAGTATTTATTCAAGTCAATTAGGATAGAATATTATTGTAATTCAACAGTTTTTTAACTGAAAACCATTCGAAAAGCGATTACGGTAAAATCTTTTGAACGACGAAAGAAAGTGAAAGTCATTGTTTTCGTCACAATTTTATCCCACTTTCCACTGTAATACATACGTCATTTCAGCAAAAATATTACATTTCCATATTTATTTCTGAGAATATATTCATTCAGGCACAGTTAAGGTAAAATATACTTGTGATGTAATATTTTAATGAAAATATTTATAAATAAGGTATTGTATTTTTCTTTTGTTTCAAATTTATTTAACAAAGATTGATGTTTCAAATTTAATTAACAAAAATTTATGTATCTATAAATAAACTTTTAAAAATGAATACTTTATGTTTTACATACTCCTGTGCATACCATACCATGCATTTGGCTACTTTGGGCTAGCTATGATGACGCAAGAGATCTGCCCTGGAAACTGTACCGACACTCACAGCGGGTGGTGCGTTGGTGCGTCGTTTCCATTGTTTACTGGTAGTTACTGGTAAATATTTTTCAACCTAACGAAACTATTACCCGTATAGAGGCCGACCCCCAACTTTTTGCCAAAAAATTTGGTCTTAAGAACTCGTGCTATACACGGGTATATACGGTAAGTACTTCTGCCTATGAGACAGGGGCTAATACCCAGAGCCACTTTTTCCAATCTCATAGGGCTGCAGTTTAGCAATTGATGATCCACTGGAAGGTCCATGGATGGGTGCAGAGTTGTCAGGAGGAATATCTGGCTAGTTATTTAGGTTTTTTATTTCCATAAAAAAATGAATTACTTCATTCCACCACCCACCACAGCACCCAACAAAGGTAGGTCAATGCTAGAGATAAGATCCCAGTGACCCCAGGGTTATCGGGGAAGTACAGCAAGTCCTCGCTTAACGTTGTCCCTCTTAACGTTGTTTTGGTACTACGATGCTGAACTTAAGAGACTAAAAATTTGTTTAACATCCCTGTGATTCGGAACGTCGTTTTGCGTCGTCACGGACTACTTTCTATGGCTTATCACCCTCTCTCGTCTGGCCGCGCTACGCTCAATCGACTAGGCGCACTACCCACACTTGCATAACGTCACAGCGTCCCCAAGTGACGCCAAGCCAGTATCTGTTACGACTTCACATCATTTGTGTGTGCTTAAGTGCTTTTACTCTAAAACTGTACTCTAACTATTCAAAATGGCTTCCAAGCGCCCATCAAGTGCTACTGATGCTCGTGTAGTGAAGAGGCAACGTAAGACCATTACCCTTGCTATGAAATTGGATGTATTAACCTGATTTGAAAAGAGGGAATGTGCTGTGGACATAGCCGCTATGCTTGGTCTAACCCTCACAACGGTGCATACTATCCGGACCAATGCTAACAAGATTAAGGTTAGTGCTGAAAGTGGTACCACTCTCAGTGCAACTAAAACAACTCGTACTAGAAGTACTGTGATAGAGAAAGTGGAAAAGATGCTGGCTATGTGGATGGAGGACCAGAATCAACGTAATGCGTCTGTGAACCTTATGGTTATCCAACATAAGCCCAGATCCTTGTTTGACGACATAAAGGAAACCGAGGGTGAAAGATCGAAGGAAGAGACCTTTATGGCCAGCCAAGGATGGTTTCCACGATTTAAGCATCATTATAACTTCCATAACATAAAGATGACTGGTGAAGCTGCTAGTTCAGATACGGTTGCTGCCGAGACATTCCCGCCTGAATTCAAGCAGATTATCCAGGAAGGAGGCTACTCATCGAAGCAAGTTTTCAATGTGGATGAGACGGATCTCTTTTGGAAGAGGATGCCTGAGAGGACCTATATCTCCTAGGAGGAGAAGAGAGCGCCAGGTTTTAAAGCGGCAAAAGACCACTTGACGCTGCTGCTTGGCGCGAACGCTGCCGGCGACTTCAAGCTGAATCCTATGCTGATTTCTCGTGCTGCCAACCCACGGGCCCTGAAAGGTTACTCAAAGGATCACCTTCCTGTGATCTACAAGGCAAATAAGAAGGCATGGATAACCGGCGCCACATTTAGC